AATCAATTAAAAAACATTAAAAATAAATTAAAATAAATAATTCAAATTTCATTAAAAATAAGCAAGAAAGAGATTTAAAAATTCAGATTAAATGTGAGTTTAATTACAATCCTCGAAAAAATAAATTCAGCTCATAATATTTAATAAAAACCTCATCTAAAGAAAATTATCCATTAATCAAAGTCAAAGAAAATAAAAAAAATACAAAAGTAGAGAGAGAAAACTAATAATTGGAGCTTTGTAATCTTGATTCTCACACTAATTCTCTTGTTTTCTTGTTTTATTTTTTACTCTTTTTCTTCAGAGAAATTTCTTACTGCCTCCTCTCTAAAAACCTCTAAAAAAAGCCCTTTAAATAACCTCCAAAAGCCCTAGCTTTCAAAATCCTGTAAGCTTGTTATTTTTGAAAAATACGTTGAGTGCTGCGACTCTCATTTTCCAAAGTTGCGGATCTGAAAGGTTCTGTCTCATTTTTGTTCTTCTAATGTAGTACTTTCATTTCAATAAGGATTTCAACTACCCTTCAATTAGAACTGAGCAAAGTGAAAAACATCAAAGTTGTAGTCCTACCTCTTAACTTTCTAATGATTTAAAAATTATTTCATTTGAATCTTTTTTGTGGAAGATATGCTTGAAAAACTGAAACATATGTAGATAAAGTACCAATTCATTATGCACCTTTTTTCACTAATTGAAATTATTTTTGATCCTGCTCTTACAAAAACGTAAAATTAAATATAAATAATATGAAACTAACATATTAACTTAAAATAAACATTTAAACATAAATTAAATGAAACTAATAAAATAATTAAAAGCACTTAAATATGATCCTAAATCTAGTCTAACTTAGACTAATTAGACATTTAATCTCTTATTAAATATATGTATTTGATGCTCACATCAAATAGTTATCTCTTTATGATATAAACTAGTTTTGTGATCATCCTGGCACAACATGTAAGTGTACCTCCTTATCAAGACAATCAACTATGGCTCAAATTCCACCCAGATTGGACTAACTTTGCATAGATTACACCATTGAGTTAACATAACCACAAAAAAAAAAAAAAAAAGAGAGACCAAAGCCAGTCAATATAAACCCCTTTGCTTCAATCCTTTAAACTCTCGGTTGATGTGTTTGCCGACTCATTGGCGAGGTACGGCGTTGACAAGGTCAATACGATGAATGTGCTGTCTAGGTGTTATGGTGCTGTGTAACAGTAGAGTCCTGTTTTAGACAGTAGTCTATTAGTGGTTCTTTTTCTCTTTAGTGTTGTATGACTTTTTATTTCGGTGTTTATGGTGTTGCAGACGGTAGTATAAGTTTGTCTAGTGTTCTGTTTCAGCTATCCTCTTTATTGGAAAGCTGTTTTTATTACCACCATGATGGCGATGAATAAAATAACCAATATGATCGAGAAAAACAAGTATAAAACGTTATCAAGACCTACGGTTCAAACCTACCACATTGCACTAGCTTTATGCAGTTTATATAATTGAATTAAGAAGAATAAACAAAAGACCAAAGCCAGTCAATAGATTCTCTGCTTTAATTCTTTTAGATCCAGTCCACCAGACATTTCGTTTTAAGTTGCCAGAATGGAAACTTGGCTCATCATCATATCTTCTCTCTGCATTCCTGCAATCTTTAAAGCCATCTTTAACCTTCTTTATCCTTCAAGAAAACTTATCAACAACCTTCCTCCAAGCCCCTTTACCTTCCCAATCATTGGGAGCCTCTCCTAGCTATGCAAATCTTTCGTTGACCTTGAACCAATCCTCAGAGACCTCCACGCAAAGTTTGGTCCCGTGATAGGTATTGGCCCTCTCCCTGTTCTCTTTAATTCTGACCGTTTCATTACCCACCGAGCCTTGGTCCAAAATGGTGCTGTTTTTGCCGATCGTCCTTCAGCTCTTATCACTTGCAGAATTATTAGTAGCAACCAACGTACCATCAATATAGCTGTTGATGGGCCTACATGGCACATTCTATGCAGGAACCTCACAGCAGAAACACTCAGCCATTCCCGCGTCAAATCTTATTCTCATGCCCACAAATTAGTCTTGCAAATACTTAAGGAAAAGCTCAATGTGAAGGTTGGTGAAGCTGTCCTTGTGGTGAACTATCTTAGATATGCCATTTTTTGTTTATTAGTCCTTATGTGTTTCGGTGACAAGCTTGATGAAAGCCAGATAAAAAAAATTAAGGTTGCTCAGCATGGCGTTCTACTAAATTTACAGGTGTTCAATGTACTAAACTTTTGGCCAAAAGTGACAAAGATCTTGTTTTACGAGAATGGAAATATATCTTGCAAATTCCCGAAAATCGAGAAGACTTATTGATCCCTTTGATAAGGGCCAAAGAGAAGGTGAAGGAAGAAAATTTGAGCTAGGAGAAACAGGATGAAAAGATAGAAGATAAAGAAGAGCATATTGTATCATATGTTGAGATACTATTGGATTTAAAACTCCCTGAAGACAAAAGGAAACTTGATGAAGGGGAAATGGTAAGTTTGTGCTCAGAGTTTCTTAATGTTGGCATAGATACTAAATCAACAGCGTTGCATTGGATTATGGCAAATTTGGTGAAATATCCACATGTTCAAGAAAAGCTATTTGAGGAGATTAAAGGGGTCGTGGGAGATGGAAGAGAAGAGGTCGACGAAGATGACTTGCACGGAAATTCAGCAAAGATCAGACTTCATCTGCTTGCATTAGAAAAAATATGCAAGAGAGCTGTTAAAAAGATTTAAGATGGAAGGATGCATGCCTATGTCTACACCGCTTACTGCTAGAACCAAGCTGTGTAAAGATGATGGATATTCCTTGGTTGATGTTACTCAATATGGGAAATTAATTGGTTGCTTGCTATATCTCTTAGCATCAAGGCTAGATATAATGTATACCACTACCACTAGTCTGCTTTCTCGATTCATGCAATCACCCACAAAGACTCATTTAACTGCTGCAAAATGAGTTTTGAGGTATGTAAAAGGGGCTTTAAACTATGGTCTTTTGTATGGACAAATTGAACATAAAGAATTGGAAGGGTATAGCGATAGCGATTGGGCTAGGAGTTATGATGATTCAAAAAGCACCAGTGGATACTGTTTTTCTTTTGGGAGCACTATGTTCAATTGGAACTCAAAGAAATAAGAAATTGTTGCTCAATCCTCTGTTGAGGCAGAGTATGTGGCTGTTGTGTCTGCAACATATCAAGCTCTGTGGCTTAGAAAGGTGCTTTTGGATTTGAAGTTTGAACAAATGAAACCAACTGTTCTTTGGCTAGACAATTAGTTTGCTATAATTTTGGCTAAAAATCCAATTAATCACAGTAGAAACAAACACATCAGGGTGAAGTTTCATGTAATATGAGAAGTTGTGACGAACAATGAAGTTGTTGTAAATTACTGTGGTACTGATGATCAAATAGCAGATATTTTTACTAAGGGCTTATGCAGAGAAAAATTTGAGTTGCTCAGAAGCAAACTGGGAATGGGCAACGTCGACTTCAAGGAGGTGTAATGGAAATTGAAGTCTCGGTTGCAGAGGGTGGCATCAGTACTTGAAAGATGAAGATGTCCACATGTCAACCACATGACTTAGAATTTTATCCTTAAGTAGTTTTAATTATGTTGTAATAAAGGCCACATGATGCGAGTCGTTAAAGATAGCAGTTATTTGAATGATTTGTGCTGTCTTTGATCCCTTATTTTTAGGTTAATTGTTTTCTTATCCTTATACTCTCAGTGTTTGTGTATAAATACACTTAATGCAGTCGTGAAAAATTCATCAATTCCTTGTTTTCAACTTAATCTCTTTTCTAAAATTTTTCTTTTACGTTTCACAAAAGTATCTTAATTTCTCTTTATAAATATTCTCAAAAGATCAACAGAGATGACATTGATTTGTCAAGAGAAGCAAGAATTTACAACGGTAAGGGAGAATCCATTGCAGGCTCACATATATCCCAGGTTTAGGTAACAAGGCTGTGGTTGATCAAACAAGTAATATTAATTTAAAAATTTTATAAGCGGCATGCATAGTTTGTATATATTTTAATACCCTTGTTTCCTAGAAAGGGTACTATAGTTTCATCGTACTATTTCATTGAATCGGATACGATCGATGGCCCAATGTTGATTTAGACTATGCATATATTTTTGTTAAATAAAAGGAAAAGGCATACGTATATATCTTCTTAACTATCCTTGATGGATTCTCCGTCTTTCTTTGCATCTTGATCGAACTTATCCATTGCCTGTACAAGTATATTATTTTGCCATGTTTTCTTTCTAAAAAGAGTAACATATAAGAATCCACCTTAGAGAAGCAATTGAACAAAACAAAGCAGGATGCTTTACAGAAAGCGGTCCGAATAAGAACATTTTGATTTTTCTTAGTAACTTATTTTGAGCTCAAATATTTAGAACATTTTGATATTTACCTTTTGGACGATTCTGACACTCTGGGAACAATGGACAAAAGACAAAAACAAATTGGATAAAACTAATATTCAAACCTCCATGGTATCATATCAAATTCTAGTAACTAGTTACAAGTCCCACAAATGAGTAATGTACACATTTTTTTGAAAGGTGAGGGCTGCACACATAATATCATTTAAACACAAAATATCTCAACTATAACAAATCTAACACAGACACAAAAGTCTTTTGCAAAGAATGTGCATATACACCAAATATCAAGAAAATCAAAGGATACGAAATTTAGGCTGATGAGCTAACATTGCAAGGGAGAAACTTGACAGATATGAGGCGTGGCAGCAGACAAGCCATACTTCAACAAATGCATCTCCAGCCTATAAGGACCATAGCTCTGTAAAGTAACTGCAAGTTGAACTCACCATCTGACCATTTTTTTTTTTAGGAACTTACCATCTGTCTTCAATTAATTGACAGTAATTTGAACATTCTGTAATCACAATAATGTCTCACTTGTGTAACATCGTTTAGCCTTATTCCAGCTTGGAGCAACTAGATGGTATCCTCAGTTTTTTCTTCAGAAATTTGAACATTCTGTGATCACAATACGAGCTATATATCAAAAGGTGACACTTTGATATTAGCATTTTCAACATTAGATGAATAAACAAAGCAGCCTAGAAAGCTACAAGGCAAATAATGCAAGTGATAAATATATATTATTTTTAATGAAATCAGAAAGTCCTGTTCCATGTATAACTGTTCTATGGTGGCACCAAGGTACCAGCCCAACGCCCCTCATAATCCGTCCTGTTTAGTTGTATTCTTTCTAGTTTTGGTGTGCATAAAGCACCCTGACAAAAGCTCTTCAAACTAGGACACTCACTCACAGTCACTTGTTCCAATGATGGGAACTTGAGCTGTAATTCTCAGAACAGAAGCTTCTGAGGCTTGGTAAGCAATGAAGTTCCACACATTTCAACTCTCTGAAAACAATCTCGTATGTTGATTCATCATCTCTCTCGCTCCCAACTACTTCCTTCATCATTTCACATTCTCTCATCGTCATTGTGACAAGACGCACCAAACTTTGGGCTTTGGAAGATGTCATCAACTCTACCATCCCTTTGCACTCCCAGACATCCAAAGTTGTAAGATTTTCAAAAGATGCAGATGATGCTCCTAAATTAATCAAACTGTCACATCCCCAAACTTCAAGAGTCTCAAGACTTGCACAAATATGACCCAGTGGTGAGCCTTGCTTCCATAGATGTATTATCTTTTGCAGATAATCCAATTTTAACTTTTTAAGTTTGAGAGCATCCGGACTTCTTTATCCTCACTAACATTACCAACGTGAGGAGACAGCTCTTTGAAGTTGCAATCAATCACCTCAAGCACTTCCAGATTGTAAAATCTTCGGAGGAAAAAAAAGGGAAAAACAGCTGATTCATCGAGGTAGCAAGTAATGCGAAGGAGTTTTATATGACAAAAGAAGTCTGACGCAAACTGGCCACCACATATCATTGCAATGCCATCACTGCTAAATGACACTTCCTCTAATTGGGGGATGACCTGAGAAGTCAACAAACACGAACAAGTTCGATTCCTATATCATATTTGAATTATAAAGCAATATTCGCCCAAAATACACAGAGACAGGATTTCAAGTTTAAGAAAGCAAAAATAAAAAAAATTCAATATTTGAAAGGGGAGACTATAAAATTGTTTAAAAAATAAGAATAAAACTATAAAATTTTAAAACAAAACAAGAAAAAAAATAAACTTTTGAAACTTAGGGGGTGGGACCCTCCTAGCCCCCCTCCCTCCCCCTCTGTAAATACATGTATATGTATTAAAAATTAAAGTTTAGTAAACAATAAAGAGATTCATGTTATCATGTGAAAATGTATATTAAATTTTGCATATTAATAAATAATATAAACAACCTTTCTTCGAAAAAAAAAAAAGAAATAAATAACCCACACCATTAGGGTCGGTCCAAATGTATCAATGATATTCAATGTCAAAAATAAAAGATATATGTATATTCAATTATAAAAATAAAATAATAACTTAGTCCTATTAATAATTTTCTAAGAATTAAAACTTTTAGTTGTAAAAACTTTTAATTTTGATAGTATAAGGTTTGAACCAAATGATTGTTTTAATTAATTTTTTATATTTTCAATGAAAATTAAGTAAAGACACTAGATGATGTAAGTAATATATCCGAGCACATCCAAAGGAAGAGTAGAGGGTCGAACCTCTTCAATCAGGAAAAGTGATGGTTGGATTTGGGATTCTGGTTGGCCAAATATCTTTATCTTACACTGATATGTCCACAACTGTTTTAACACCGGCCATACAGTGGTGTGCATTCCTGAGTAAAAACAACTCAGCTCCTTAAGTATGGTCGGATCAAAACTACCAGGGCTAGGGCACGTCATAGAAAATTTTGCGAATAAAATGTATTATTTTTATTTTTTAAAAAAAATATTTTAGTTATGACTCGTGTACCAAGTGCTTAATTAACTAAAAAGGCAAGTGACAGTGTTGCCACTTGCTGCTCAAGACTTGGCTGGAATCATTTTGACGTAGAGTGTAGATGGTAGAGTCGGATCTTGCAAGTCGTACTAATGCAATTTTATTGTTACGAAATAATTGAAGGGTGATTTCCGCATTAAAGATAAAGCCTGGAAAGCAAGAGAAACAGAGAAAGGACAACTCATACTTCCCTTGCATTGCGTGGATATGTCTCTGACTACGCAGACTACTGTCTGCTCAACTTTCTTATCACTGTCAACTACACCAAAGCCTCCGACTTGCCATGTCCTTCATAAATAAAGCCACTCCCGAATCCTAATCCATAGATCTATCCTTCTTAAAGCTCTCAATTTCCCCGATATTTTTATCTTAAAAAAATTCTAAAAAATAACTTTTTTTATAAAAATATTTTAAAAATAATTATCAAAATAAATTTAATTATTTTTAATCATATTTAATTATAATTTGATAAAAATATTCTTGAACCTATTTCAAATAAATTAAACTATTTATCATAATTTTTTCCTATTTGTTTTGATTTCTCCTTCTTAACATCTCACTCTCTCTAATTTTATCGATTTCTCTTTCGACATTCGTCTACTATATTCTCGATTTCTCTTTTGCGCTTTCAGATTTTTCTTTTTAACATTTTGAAAACGTCAAACGATAGTTTTGATATGCTTAAGTAGATGACTATTTGAAAATTTTAGTTTTTAGGTATTTTGGATAAAACAAAATAGTAGAAATGATCACAAATGTTTGAAATAGCTTTTAATTGGATCAATTTGGGATCTAGACACCAATAAACTCAAAAATTTAAAATTTATAAACTTAAGTTTTCAATGATTTTTTTTATTTTTAGTCAAAATGGGTATTTTGTATTTTGATTTATAAAAATATGTTAGAAATACTTTAATAGGTGTCAAATTATCAAAAAAATAAAAAGTAATAAAGAGAGTTGAGGATTTAAAGTTTTGGTTTATAAGTAACAATAACAGTTTAAGCATTAAAATGTAACTAAATATTTTTGAATATGGCGTGTAACAATTTTTTTTAACCATAGCGTGTAACATATTTTTGTATATGACTTGTAACAACAGTATTTTTTTTTCAACATGACGTGTAACAACCTTTTTTAACCATGACATGTAACATATTTTGATACATAGCGTGTAATAATAGTATTTTTTTTAACATGATGTGTAACAATCTAACCATAACGTGTAATAACCTAATCATGACGTCTCACATGTTTTTATACATGGTGTGTAACAACCTAATCATGGCTTGTCACACGTTTTTATACATGACGTATAAAAACCTAATCATGACGTATAACATGTTTTTGTACATAGTGTATAACATTATAGAGTGTAATTTCATTAAAGATATTTTTGTCCAACTCGGTTAAAAATAGTTAAAATTATAAATGAGGTTATTTTTAAAATATTTTATCTTTAAAGATTATTTTTTAAAATGCCCCTTTTATCTTTGAAGGAAGGAATTTGTCACTTATTATTCCTTTTTTAATTTCTTCTCTTCCAAATGACTCAAGTATCCTCGTGGTATTTAGATTTTCTTTTACTAATGTTAATTGTAAAATTCATTGCACATGAACACCTTTTTTTAAAATATTAATTATATATAAATATAAATATTTTTAAAATTACACAATTTGATGTGTAAATGATTAAATTTTTATACTAATATTATTATATACATTATTTAATACTATTAGAATTAAGAATGCTACTATAAGAACTCAAATTAAACTTATATAACACTTTTATTAAAAAAATTATGATAAGAAAATTTTTTTCGTATAAAATAAAATATTTCACTATTTTCATTTTACTTTAATTGTGCTAAAAAAATGTAAAATTAAAATACTTTCTTATTTATTATTTACTTTACTTATAAACCAAAAAAGTTTAAATGTAATTGACTATTATAACTAATCTCTTAAATAATATTTTTATTTTTATTAAATAATTTAGTTCTTTACTTAGATTTTTGTATTTTCTACAATTGAGAAAGTGAAGGTGGCGGTTTTATAGAAGGCTTGGAGATGGATGAGAAACACGTAGAGGCCAGCTGCAATGCAGAATCTGATATGAACTTCGATAGCAGAACTATGGGTGAGAACAGAAAGATGACATTTCGAAATTGCTGCGGATAAGGAGAGTAAAGGTGGCGGTTTTATAGAAGGCATAGAGATCGGTGAGAAACACGTAGAGACCTGTTGCAATGCAAAATCTTATTTGAACTTAGATAGCACAATAATGGTTGAGAACAGAAACTTGACATTTCGCAATTGCTGCAGACAAGGAGAGTGAAGGTGGCGGTTTTATACAAGGCATGGAGATGCGTGAGAAACACGTAGGGGCCTGTTGCAACGCAGAATCTTATTGGAACATGGATAGAAGAATTATGGGTGAGAACAGAAAGTTGGACATTTCAAAATTGCTACAGACATGGAGAGTGAAGGCGGCGGTTTTATAAAAGGCTTGGAGATGAGTGAGAAACACGTAGGGGCCTGCTGCAATGAATACTATAATTCGCATTTAGATAGTCGAATCACGGCTGGCATGGCAATCACAAAGATTCGGTTTCTCCCAAAATTAGTAACGTCAAATGGCTAACATGTGATGAAGAGTTTGAATTACTCTCACAGAGGATAGTAGCGTGGGTGAGGTGGTGAATAAAGAAAATGACAACCAAGGAGAAAATGGGGGTGTCAAAGCCGAATGGTGATATCGCTTCCGAGAGTGAAAAGCAAAACAATTAATTTACACTGGTAAAAGGCGAGGGCGAAGCAGACAGACGTACGTTGGGAGAACCTGTGTACAGATCCATAGGTTTGATTTAAGCGGCTTGAGATATAGGGAAAGATCCACTTCAAACTCAAATGATTCAAACTAATAATTAATTTTTTTCAATTTTTTTAGCACTTCATATAATATCTATGGAAGCAATACACACAACTGTACCACAGTTGTACATCAAAATTTTTTAATATCTTAAAATTTGAGAATGTATACTCAAAATTCTTGAAACTTTTGATGAATTTGATATATAATCAAAATTTACAGAAATTGCGAATTAACCAGTACATTATTGTTTGTGCAAATTTATAAAATTGACAAAGTGATTGTTTGAACACAAATTCTAATTATTAGAATGAAACTCTTTAAACTTTGGAAACAAATTTGATACACTCCAAATTTCCGGATTCATCAAGATATTTACTCTATATTATAAATATTCATTAAATAACTATTAATCGCAATTATATGTATATATACACAGTATAATTATTAATTAGTTATTATTATAGTTGGTAATTTGTTATTATTAAATAACAAATTTTTTAATTTGTTTTCAAAAATAGCCATCAAAATAAAATAAACTGCCTTTAGCCATATTTAGCTATGATTGGACAAAAATATCCTTGAAACCATTTCATATAAATTAAACCATCTATCACAATTTCTCTTTGTTTTCGTCTCTGCTTCCGATTTTTTTCTCTCACCACCCAGCTCTCTCTAATTTTATCAATTTCTCTCTTCAACATCCGTTTGCTGTGCTCTCGATTTTTCACTTCTAAGCTTTCAAGACATCAAAAGATGGTTTTGATGTGCATAGGGTGGGTGGCTATTTAGAAATTTTGATTTTTAGATATTTTAGATGAAACTAAAATGATAAAATGATCACAGATGTTTTAAAAATAGCTTTTATTTGAATCAATTTGGGACATAGATATCAATAAACTCAAGATTTTGAAATTTATAAACCTAGGGTTTAAAAGGAATTTTTTTCAATTTTTAGTTGAAATAGGTGTTTTAGATAAGAAAAATTGTGTTTTGATTTATGAAAGCATGTCAGAAATATTTTAATTGGTGTGAAATCGTAAAAGAAAAACAAAAAGAAATGAAGAGAGCTAAAAGAATTTGAAGTTTTAGTTCGTAAGTAATAATAACATTTTAGATACTAAAGTATAATAAAAAATTTTAAATATACTATGCAACAATAATATATTTTTCAATATTGCATACAACAACAACATTTTTTTAGCATAACAATTAACATATTTTTACGCATAATGTGCAATAATAATATTTTTTTAACATGACGTGAAATAACTTTTTTTTAACCATGACGTGTAACATATTTTGTACATGATATGTAACAATAATATTTTTTTTCAATATATCATGAAACAACCTTGTTTAACCATGCTATGTAACATGTTTTTGTACATAACGTATAACAACAATATTTTTTTTAATATGTTGTGTAACATGATATGCACTTGATATAAAGATGTTTCATTAAAGATAATTTTGTCTAACTTGGTTAAAAATAGTTAAAATTATAGAAAAAGTTATTTTGAAAATATCTTATCTTTTAGGATTATTTTTTAAAATACCCCTTATTATATGCATTATTTAATACCACTAGAATTAAAAATGGTGTTATAACAACTGGATATGAACTTTATATAACACTTTTATAAAAAATTTATGCTAAGTAACTTTCTTTCTTATGATTTTAAATAAATTTTAATTTGATTTATGATAGAGTTCATTTTCTTTAAATTTGTTTTTTTTCTCTATTTTATTCAATTTCAATTAAAAATTGTTCTACTCATTGTCTATATATTTTTTTATTCTTTTCACTTTTTAAAATTTTTAAACGCCTATGTTTGTCTACTCTAATAATAATTTTTTTTTCAATTTTTTTTACTATTCTACATGCTTGATTACGATTAATTATATTGTCTAAGCTTTTTTTCTTTGCCTTTTGTTTTATCATAGGTTTTAACATTTGTAACTAAGTTTTTTTTTTTGGCCAAGGCAACTCAGCTATTAGAGCACTTGAGTTTGCAATTGATAGGTTTCTA